AGCCCTTTTTGTCCTCTCCGATGGACCAAGACGACGCGGAAGCTGCTCAGTTGTTTCCTTGCCATGTTCCCTGAACTGCATGATGATTTTGTTGACTGTCGAAAGCGGGATCCCCAAATCTCAACAAATTATGAGCTTTTACCATTAAAACAAAACAATCAAATGATTTATCTAGTGTAGAAATCATTCTTTTTATTGGTTGTAAACATGTTCAATAGCAATGTCAGACAGAATTACATACATTTCTAAAAGACAGAGGGTATAGAAGGGCATGTCAGTGTGGGTTGAACAAGTATGGTAACACTGAGTAAAGCAAGAATAGGTTGAAATTTTATATTCTGACTTGTCAATATCTATAGCATATGTTTCTAATTAGTTGAACAATCTGAACCTCTTGTAATGTAAGACAAACAAAAAATCTTTACATGAGAAGTCACAGCACCACCAACTCATTTAACTCTAAGAAGTGCAGACTGAGAATTTATTTAAATATTCCCTTTTGAAATTAAGAAACTAAAACTTATATAATATAAAAATTTGAATAGTAAACTGTTTTGATGCCAAGTTTATTGACATACAATGATAATGTGTAACCACACTGTTAAAAGGAAAGTAGACTAACTTTTTTCATTTATGCTTGTTTTAACCAATTATTTTACACAAATGATATGCAAAGGATAAAAGTCTATGAAAGAATCTCTCTGATACACCTTTTGGCCATTAGAGGGTTGTTCAGATATAAAAAAGGCTGAGTGGATAGATGGTCGAGTACTAACAGTAGAAAGATACACATCAAGAATTAAAATCTTACATTTGTGTAGCACACCGAATTAATTTTGCTATAGAGAAAAAATGGGTGAACAGTGCCACAACAATTACTGTTCTTACTAGGTAGCACCCTGACATAGGCCAAATTTCAACAACAATTAAAACCAGATTTATATGGTGTAAATTTCTACACAATGGAGATGAAGATCTGACAAGGTTTCATAAATTATAAGTCACCTTGCATCTTCTCTAACTTTACTACATCATGTTCCTTACCAGCACAGAATCATTTATCGCAATTTCCTAAACGAGGACATACGTTACATTAGTACAGCATTACTTACCAAACTTCTTTTACTTAGTCATCATACAGGCCATGACTTGATGTGGTGACATGGACCGTTACAATGTGGTAAGGCTCTAAAATCATTTTAAATTAATGTACTCTATATAACTAGTTTCTGGAGAAAAGTCATTGGTAAATCTTGAATTAGTCATGACAAGGTAAATTGGGGAATTTTTCAATAACTAGTGCACATATTTACACAAACAGGGTGGCTATAAAACCAACTTTAACTTTCCTTATCATTCCTCTGACTTTTTAACCCTCTCACTATGTATGGGTAGGTCAGAATGTGCATGTCACAAACTTTTAGAGAGCATTCAACATTTAATTAAACTACTTTAATATCAATGTATGCAGATAAACTTGGCATCAAATCATAATTAATAAATCAAATTTTAATATAAGTTTTAAGTTTTTAATATTTAAAAAATAATCCTCAATCTACCCCAGTATGAGAATTCTGATTTTTGTTTTCTAGATCTCCTCCCTTCTCTAATTTATTTACCATCCCTCTTTGAAGTATAGAATTTAATGTAACTTACACATTATAGTATAAATATTACTAAGGCAAAGTTTAATTTTATATAGTCTTCAATCTTATTTATTTATGGAGTCAACTAGAAATTTTGTGAAGATACACAAAACATATTAAAAGTTATAGTATGGAAACATTATTTGTCTCCTACAGTTCACCCTCAAATAACAGTCACTTTTGTTTTGGCAAATAATTCTATAACCCGTCAAGAGTGTACCAATGGGAAACTACAGCACCCACTTTTGCTATACTTTTTATGCATGAACTGGAATTTCAAGCTATTTCAGAAGCACCTATAAAACCTGATTTTTATGTTTGATATACTGATGATATTTTCATTGTTTGGCAGCATTCAGTGGAGGAACTTAATATTTTTTAGACACACTTGAATGCCCAAAGCACTGAAATCCAGTTTTCACTTAATACTTCACATACTGAAAATTACCTTAACTTTCTGGAAGTTAATATTACTGTAGAGAAAAATGGAAGTTTTCTCATGAACTATATCTGAAACTAACATATAGTGGTGTATCTTTCAAATTTTGTTCTATCTGTTCTACTGCTTTAAAGGAAACAGTGGCTTATTCTCAATTTATATGTGCTCAATGCCTCTCCTCAGACCACTCAACAAATCATTGAAGTAACAAAAAAATTAAAAATATACTTCATGCTAATAATTATCCTCAAGACTGTATATTAAAAAACACTGAAGAAGACCAAATTAAACAATGACAAATCTAAAAGTGTGAAATGTAAAAGTTCATTACAATCTGTTGTTCAGAACTCTAGTTATTAGGTAGAATTTAAACATCTACAGATAGATAGATGGACAATGTTACTGAATACCTCCCCCCCCAACCTTTTTGGTCAGTAAGATTAAGAATCCCCTGGGAATATATACATTCTACATAAATTTAATAGAGATTTAAATAGCACTTTAAACTTTAACTGCAGTTATACTAAACCAGAGATAATTACTAACTCTTCTCTTTTAAAAAAAAATGTAATACTCTGCATGGAAACAAAGTCGGTACAGTGGATTTACATGGGTTGACAGTATTAGGCGAAAATCATTTTCAGACATCACCAACTCTTTAATAAATGAAAGTGTCACAAAATTCATTAACTCTTAAAGCATTTTTAATCATATTTCTTCATCTATTATAAAATAAAAACTATCACTAAAATTTTGAAATTAAAATTAATTGTAAAAGTAACAATTAAAACAAATGAACAAACAAAAACTAAAATATGTTCACTTGTTAAATAATTCACCTAGCAAGTCTTGAAATACTAAAATCTGAAGTTTGGATTTAATCCTGTTACAGTTATGAATGTTTTATTTTTTTATGTTTATTTTTACAATAATTTATAAAGACTGATACTCATTTTTCTGCCTATTCTTGTACATTCACACTGATTTAGCACACACTACTTTTGTTTAGTTTATACTTTAACTATCACAGCACAAAATATTTTTCTCTTCTCAGCTTTTCCTGTATTAGATCAACACTTCTTTCGTTCAACCTACACTTACCAGGAATTTGCTTTGCCCAACCAATTGTAGCTACAAGTTCCTTATCCACCAGGTCACTAAGAGTAGTAATGACTCTAGTTTGAGAGTCAGTTATTGAGTGATTTACAACTGCCACTTGAGGTTCTGGTTCACAATTTATGAGAGCCAACAAAAGCTTGTTTTCTGGAGAGAGAGAGAAAAAAAACAAAAAAAAGGCATGACAATCATATCAGTTACAAAGAGTCCATCCACATTTAAATCTTAGCAAATTTTTAAGTTACACCTACAAATCTTACTGCACAACAACTGCAAGAATGTATATGTGTATCTACTGTATATTATACCTTAATATATCCCTCAGCACTATACACAACGTGTATCTTATACTTCAACAAGCAAAAGTTCCACCCCTAAAGATGGGAAATGTTTAATTTAATTTATCAATTTAAATTGTTTCATGAACTTTAAAAAGGCTAATTGTGTTGCACTCTTAGTTTCACTCAGAGCCAAAGCTATGAGTTAGTTATACCTCCCCACAAAAAGTAATTGTTGAGCATTTCACTAATGCTAACAGCCACTCAACAATAACATATGGTAAATCTACATTTTTATTCTTTAAGTTATGTCACATTTTGAGATGTGAATAATAGTGTGATTAATTCCTAACAATTTAGTGTAGAATATCCTGCTTGAGATATAACATTTGGTATCAACATTATTCATGCCTGTTCTCCCATTATATCAAAAGTGAATGTTGAGCTTTTCAAAACAGGAGACATACAAATGCTCAACAGACTCCACAGTTCACAATATTTATAACAGTATTCCCATCAGAAGATTGGCAAGTAATTCATTTAAGAAGTCTAATTTATTAAGTATTTCTGTGAATTTCCTTGAAAAATGCTGAACTGAATGTACAAGAAAGTGCAAGTAATGGTCAGCAGTAATCACTTAGCACAGTTATATTGCCTAATCAACATGCAACAGCTTACCTAACTATTGCTCTGCCATATCACAGCCTTCACAACAGCCTAACCTAAGCAAACATATGATGACTACAGGATAACAATACACTGATTATTTTATGATGCTTAAAAACTTTAAATTAGCCAAGTTTTTCTGATTTATTACAATGTTATCATGAGAAAAACTGGTTAATCAATACCTAAACTGAAAAATCTCTAAGATATTGATTATAAAACATATTTTAGTTGCAAATTATTTAGAGAGCTAGAATTAATATTTTTTAATGAAATTTTAATATGCAAATGTGTACGACATCTGAAAGGTACTCACTGATCATAATAGGGTTAAAAATCTGGTGAATGTGCTTATCCCCTTCGTTACTTTAATTTTTGATTTTATTTCAAACATCTTTATATTACAGGTAAGCATGTTATAGTTCTGTAATTTTTTTTCACCTTATAAATCTAGAATATTTACTGATAATGCATGTCATGCATAGTACCAAACACAATGTACACCCACAGAATGTGTAATTTTTATCAACTTGAAAATCTTCCAGATTGTATAGCAACTATATATTACATTTAATAAATCATTTATGTTATATGCTAATTTAATGTTTACTATCTTATAAGATAATAAATGTTCTTTTTTTAACTTTTATATTGTGATTTAATCATTTCCTTTCACCTTCCAAAACTTACAGATTATTATCTGATATATCACACAGTACTTCAATTTTCCACCTCAACAGTCTACAAAATGTTGTTGTTCTGTCCCTAACAAAATATTTCCTTACTAGCAACTGTAAAGTTTATTAAAGATGTTTAACTAAAACACTGGTATAATTACTAAACTTTATTTTTTTTCTCATTTGAAGCTATGAGGGCATTTGTGTATAAAATTATTAAAAACTTATTTTAAAACATATTCTTTCTGAAACAAAAAAATGTTATTACTTTCCATTTGTCAAAAAAAAAAGAAAATAAAAACTAAACAAACAGTACACATTCCACTTGTTTTCAAAATAACATATATATATATATATATATTCAGAAGAAGTTAAACATATGTACAAAAATTCCTTACACTATGGAGGTCAAAGTTCACTCAGGCTGGTTCAGTTACTTTACAACTCCGTTTGATGAGACAACTTATTCTCCTTATCTCTTACAAAATTGTTAATCACACTCTAACATATCAACCATTAGGTATGTCACTCCCACGACAATTAACCTTGCATTTAATATTTCTTTAATCGAACTTCTCTTTCTCGTGACTTTACTCTCTTCTGCTCTTATTTTTTTGTCTGCTTGCCACTGTTTATAAGTTTATCACTTAGGTCTTCTAGAAATCTCTAT